TTTTGCATACATGGTGGACAATGAGAAAGAATAGTTTGATTCAACTAGGATTAGGTAATGCAATGGCCTCGCACATGACCCCGGCATTTATAAATTCTTTGGTGGCCTGGAAGGCCAGTTCTTTCCACATACTGATTTGCCCCTCGGCAAAGCATACATGTCCCGGCTTGTCTGGCACCAAGTCCCTCAGCCCAGCCCACTCCCTTGCTTTGTTGATGAAATAGAGGCGGGTCCAGTTCATTTCGTTTGGGATCAAGGTATGCTCTTCTGACCACCGGTCATATCGAGCTTTTGCTCTGAGCCAATTCACCCGATATACTTTGATTTGTCTGGTTTCAATTCATGTAGAGTAATAAAAGTGACTGGATCTGACCTTGTTCCATGTATGTTGAACCCGACGAATCATCAGCCACAGCCATATTCCAGAACCATGGCAGAGCAATATTTCTTTGACCCCGGGCGTTGCCATTGTATACCGTAGTTAGTGCCCTTGTATCTTTTTTCCCTATCGGCTTGTATCGGTCACGAGTGCCCTGAGGAGCATTGAGCTGATTAAGAGCCCATCGAGCTTGGTTGTATGCCCGGAGAGCACTTTTCATATTGCGATCCGATCCTTGTACAGCATCGTAAGCCCGAGTTACACGTTTTTTCGATTTCTCGGCTCGAATTCTCTTCCGATAAAGGAATGACTTGTAACCGATGGCTTCCCGTAAACGCTTCAGAGCGTTATTTGCCTGGGCCACTCTCAATTCTATCTCTACGCACCGGGCTTCTCCCAGTGATGTAGGGAGGAGGGCTGCTTGAAATGAGGATGGTAAGAGGATTTGTTGATGTTCGGCCGATCCATATCCCTGATCAGGCAAACTGGGTATGCTCGGTGCTGGGGTTTCCTCTTCATCACAATTGCTCCAGTCATCGTCATCCACAATATCCTCCGAGAGCAGTGGATCATGAATAGTTCCTTCATTAATTTCCAAGTTGGGAAAATGGCCTTGACCGCCCTCGGAAAACTCTTCAAGTCGCTTGGACAGCTTCTCTCGACATTTCATTATCTCCAGCTTCTGATCGGCACTTGGACGACTGCCTTGAGCCTTCACAAAGGCGGCCAATTCGGCTCTGGATTGTTCAATGTTTGAATCTAGCAATATTTGACTTTACTCACTGGGCTTCCTGAATTTTGATACCGGTGTTTACCCATCCAGTTAACCCCAGCTTGACCTTGCCTGCCTGTTCTTTAGTCATAAGTTTTAGCCGAATGCCCTTTTCGGTCTCGGCTGATTGAATGATTTTACAGCTGGCCTTTGTGATGGAAAACTTGGTCCTTACCTTCCTTGACCTTGACGTAATAGATGTCCATGGCGGAAAGGTCCTTTGCCCGATTCAAATTTGCCGTTTTGATCTGTTGCTCCCATTCTTGAATCTGTTCCTTACTTGCTGAGGCACTTAATTCTTCAAGAGCCTGGAAGCTCTCAGAGAGCCCGAGTTTTGCTTGCTTCCACTTCTTGCAAAGGCTACTCACTTGACGTTTATTAGCTTAGAAGCAATGTAAAAGCAGTTGAAAATAGATACCCATATTGATCATTTTTTTCCAGTTATTATCCAGCATGTGAGCATCCAACACCTCCGATCTATGGGCCAAAGTCATTGTCCGGGTGGTGCTACCGACCTCGTTGAGAACAGCCCACAAAGTCTCCAATATCTCTCCATCTGTTTGACCAGCCCCGGGGATGAATGTTGGGGCAAATCGTGGAAAGCATATTTCTTGATGGCCATGGACATGGAATAAGCCGATCCCGGCTACCAATAACAAGTCTGGTCTGATCCAGAGGTGTTTCACACCACGTTTTATCCGAGCCATCAAATTCACCATATACTGGCAGTTGATGTCATAGACAAAAATAACCCTTTTTTCTTCACTGGTCATGGTATTCTTCAGAGCCTGGCACAAGGCATAGTCCATGTTCATTTGCCTGTTCGGTAAAACAACGATTCAACCTCAGGATAACTTCCATACCTTTCTCCCTTTTGAAAATCTACCACCGAACCCGGACAAAAGGTGCCATGTCGAAGGCAAGCAATGGCTCCAATTCCAGTAGCGTCAAAACCTCGGTGAAATACATTCTTGTTGTTGATAGCATTGTGCTCATGACATGTCCTCGGCTGAAAGATTCAGACACCGGCCGAGTCGCTCGAAGGATAAAAACTTACATCATTATCTTCAATCGCGTCCCGAAGGTGGCTCAAATAAGGTCCTCTTTGCGTCATGAAACTATCCCCATTTTTAAGCCAAACATCGTCTTTGGGCCGTGCCTGTTTTTGGTGGGCTGCTGTGAAATTGCCATCGGCTACAAATCCTCTGGTATACTTCCAGTTAGTAGGATCATTGGGGTTTTTGTTCCAGTCATCAGGAAGGTTGACTCCCGGTTGTGGGCAGGTAGGGCAAAAAAAACCCATCTCCCCCGGCGTCGGAGCCTTACCTTTGTGTCCAAATCCAAAAGTAGCCAGTTCAGTAAGATTACGGTATTGTCTACCAACCCTTATTAACTCGTGATACCGGTTCTGTCAAACGTTTTGAGATGGGAGTATACCTCAGTACTTGAACAACATACCGGAATGGAATTCGGAAATGCAAAGTTGGTGATCCTTCTCAATTTGGAGTAGTAGTGGGTGGCCGATGTTTTACATTCCAGGTTTTCCAGCAGGTAGTCATCGAGGAGTTGGAAGGTAAATACGGTCTGGCAAGACTTGTAGGTGGATGGGTACAACCCAACCCGGAACAACTGTATGTCCTCGGCTGCTGCACCAGAACATCCACAGAAGACGATAGGTAGGTGATGCACACCGGAAGTATGGACTACGGTCATGACCCGGCCACCATTGTAAATACGGTCCGTTGGTTTTGGATCGGCCGAAGTGCTGGTAAGGTCTTCCATGTCAAACCATTCCTCTTCGTCAATGTCAAGGTCGGCACTCAAGTTGCTGCTTCCATTCGGGCACCGATCACCTTCGTGACCAAGTCGAATAACCAAACCCACTTTCCACAGCCAGCTCGGCTCATAAAAGGTGCCGGTCCAACGTTCAATCCGGTGGAAAGGGTCCCTGCAGTGGGATGTTCGGCAACATTCTGCACAATATGCCGTGCCGGCAAAGCAATCGAGACATCGCCAATTTGCCTCCTTCTTGCAAGAGATACAAACCCGCTTTGACGCTTTCCTATCCAAAAATTCGTGGAGGTATAGATTACGGTTAGTCTCTTTCCAAACCCTCATGTAATCATTGGATGACTGATAGTGTATTAGCGTTCAGTATATGAATATATTGGAAGAGGAATTTCACATTTCTGTAAGGTTGATGATCCTCGAGAGGAGGAGCATATTCAACGTATGGCAAATCTTGGTGTTCCCTTTCAATGTCTCTTTCCAGATGGCTGCAGTTACGTTTTTTCACGGGGGAAAATGGCAGAGAGGGAATAGTGGAGGAGGGAAAAGACCTCCTTCCATTTTTTATAACAAGCCTGTTGAAGTGAGGATTAGCGATGTTGCTGTGTGCTTTTCTTCCCATGTTTGTCTACTGTTGAAATGGCCAAATGATATAATGATGATGTGTAGTGGGAACGAGGAAAATGTGGGCGTAGCGGGAAAGAGGAAAATGTGGCCGTCGAATAGCAAACGCAAACATTCATAACAGATTTGCATTTCCAGCTACGTAAAATAACAAGTTGGCAGTAAGACTGGGATGAGCACACACCCAAGCCATAAAAGCCGGCCAGCAGGACTGGATAATAGTCAATTAGAAACACAATCTCATATTTCATACACTTCGCATACTCTTTAACGGCGGCTTCTTGTGAACTTTTAATTTTTATCACCTTCAATATGACTGCAAAATATCAAGATCTGTATGTCGCTGACAGCCTCATCATACATTGGTATAAAGGTAGCTTCAATATATACCACCATAACTGCGTTACCAGTTTAGTTACTTAGATGGACCGACATAATTACAGAGGAAGCTAATTAAGGTTTTGTCCTGTGATGCGATCATAACTGTTCCGCTATTTAAGCTATTTAAGGTTATTAAGGTCTGTTCTTTTCCGTTTCGTGTTCGATCTTCCGTGCCGATCAGTTATGTATATTTTTGATAGATGATATATAAAGTAATTCCCTTTCCCGAATCAGGGGTGATTGTTTGTTCATTGTATTTGGAATGAGTTGTTCTCCCTCTCTGCTCCCGACTACCATTTTCCATCTACCTCTTTGCTCCCAAATACCATTAATTATATCATTATGAGTACTCATTCTCAATCCCCTGAACCATCTGCCCCACTTTCCAGTCAAACCAAGCACCATGGGTCCGGGAGGCATTGGACCGATGAAGAAAGTGCTCTATTGGAAAAACATCGGGAGGAGTACAGAGACGCCAACGACGCTGCTCGTGCTGAGATATTTTCTCGAGTTTTGCAAGACATGCTCGACATACTCCCCAATGGAAAATCGTTCAAGAAGGAAGAAAGATCAGCTGTTAAAAAAGTAAGTACTTTTTCCAGCGGCCCTCTAATTGATTCCTGACGGACTTGTAGGATATTAAAGAGTGGTTTGCCCGGTACAGTCATAAGAGAAGTCAGAAAATGCCGAGGATGGGAAAGTCGTGGCACGCCCGGCATGTGTTCCAGCATGAGAACAAGGACGCCATCGATACCGAAGCGAAAAGGCTTTGTGCCGAAGCCATTGAAGAGGGACAAAAGAGGCCTAAAGGGGGAGATCCCACTCATTTTGATTTTCGGGAGCGGGTCGTGACTCAAATGATGGGAAAACTGAAGAAAAGGGAGAAAGACGTACTGCAGAGGACGGCCGAGGAGTACGACAAGAAGGGAGTTGACCCGGAACTCAAGTCCAAGTAAGTTAATTTTCATTATTCTAACGTTGGCTTATCTGGACCTTTGGTAGACTGGCTGTAAAGAACTGCACGGCTCGGATGCATGCATTTTCCAAGGAACTTTATGACACAATGGGTGTCCGGGTCTTTATCTTAGGATGTTATCTGAAGCCCGATGGTAATTTGGACGTCTCGACGTACGACTTCAATCAAGAACTCGGGAATGGGAAAGACTTTATTGATAACCATAGCCGGACTTTCCATGAGGAAGGAATATCGGTATCTTCTTGGAGAGCACACAATGAAGAATACTATGGGTTGGAGGATCTTGCTTCGGCCGAAGGAGGACACCGATCCCAGGGTGCTATGACTTTGGAGAAGAACCTATACCTGGAACCTATTCTACCCGATCCATCGAAACCACCACTTAAAACTTCCCGTGATATTCGAATTTGGCGGCTGAATGTTCTTTGTACATTTGTCAACCAGCACTATAGTAAGCCGGTCCCCAGAGATTTCTTGCCCTGTATCACTAAACATTTGTCTACTTAGATCTTGCAGCTGGGCAGAGTAAGGGATCGGCTCCTTGGACGGCTATTGGATCAAAGTTACTTGACTTCATTGATCTAGAATATATACCCCCGGCTTGGAGATCAGTAAATGGAGAAGGTAACAACTTTTACAAGTTTCTTGATCCCTCCAAATTCCTGATGGAGATGGTCACTGAAGCTCTCCAGTTTTGGTATGAACGTCAAGAACAACACAAAGTCGCCTTTCGATTTAAATCCTTTCTTGAGGGGAAAATGCTGCTGGAAGCACCTCCACGAAGGAAAATCAAAGTTCACATTCCTAAACCTCATGTTCATAGTGTTGGGAAGGGCAAGAAGCCCGGCAGAAGCAAGGGTCAAAGGAGAGGCCGGGCAGCAACCGAGTCACCGTCAGATGAGGAAGCCAGGCCAAAGAGAAAGGAAGGGGTGGAAGATCGGCAGTTCGATGACAACAGTTGGAAGGATTTGGATGTGGACAAACCGGCCAAGAAACGAACCGAACAGTTTTCTAAGGATGACTGGACTCCTGATCGGGATGGCTCCGATGACGATGGAGAAGACTTGGACGTGGAGAAACCAACCAAGAAACCAACCAAACAGCATGACGAACATCGTGAGGATGGCTCCAATGATAGTGACTCAGACTCCGATAATGGTCAAGAGAGGCCAAAGCAGGATACTCTGACCAAGCCCACAGTGAAACCTAGCAGGGTCAACCCGACCTTGGAAGAGGATAGAGACTCGGGATCAGATTTGGGCTCAGACGATGCTACGAT